CCCTCTTGTGCCGATGATTTCAATATTTTCTCACAAAATCAACAGCCCTTTACAATTGACCAAAAAGAAAGAAAAAAAAAAAAAACTGTGGATCCTCTCAGTTTCAAATTTTATCCATTTTGGATTGCTCATTTACATGAATGTGGATGCGGATCCATGTGTATGTATATATATATGTCTGTCTGTCTGTCTGTGTTGCTGCTACTGCTAGGAGGCTGTGATGATGGATTTCTGAGTTCTGAGTTAATCGGGCATGAGACAAACCGGCCCGTATCTTGGTGGGGCAACCCGGATGGCATGCGAGGGAGAGATTGGATGGTTTTTCTCTCTCAATTGCAACCGTGGGTTGCAGCCATGGCGTGGTCGCATTCTCTTTGTCTGATCAATATACAGATCTGAGCCTCACATTTTTCACTACCAAACAATTTTATTTTGATATAAATTTTTAATAATTAAGAAAATTATTTATTATTATTTTATAATTGCTTTGGTATGATACTTTAAAAAATTTATATCGATACAGCAGTCAGATTCGTGTAGTGTAGGTGAGATTTCGAGGGTTTTGAGTTGGATTTGTTTGGTGTGTATTATACGCAATATTACATCAACCAGAAACAATAGCAGGGTGGTCAACAGGTAATAAGGTAGTCGTGTTATTTATATTTTCAGCTGGTTTAATGGCAATTGTTGAATTTTAAAATTGTGAGTTTGATTTTATCGTCTTTCTTTGGTATATGACCAAATATATATTTTTGACTTAATATGTTCTCTCTTACAATGAAACTTTTGTCTCTTATGTAAACACTATATTATTTGATTGTGTCTTATTTTTATTAATTTTTTTCCTCCCCAAATAAATTAATATATATATATTTTATTTTTATGCACTAACGTTGCGTACTAATGATTTTACATGAGAATAGAATAAAAGTGAGGATGAAATGAACATAAGAACAAAATGAAACATACATCATCATTTCAATGTTTGTTTGATAATAATTAGGGTTAAGTGTTAGAACCTAGACTCGGACTCGGCCTTGGACCCGGACCTAATTTTGGAGTACACCCTTAGGCCTAGACTCACTCCCGACCCGACTCTAGACTTGGACCTAATCTTGAACCCATAACTCAAACCTAGACCTAGACTTTATCCTAAACTCGATTCTAGACGTTGCACTCGACTTTGGACTTGACCTTGGACCTGAACACGAATTGGACCTCAGTCTTGGACTTGAACCTTGGACCTTGGACCCCGAATCCTAACTTTAACCCCCCAAACCCGAATTCGGACTTGACCCTGATCCCAACCCCGACCTTGAATCGGTCTAGAACCCAGACCCGAACCCTCGACCCAAAATCGGTCTCAACCTTGGACCTGAACCCAACCTCAGGTGGTGGTGTTCGTAGTGGCGGTGATGGTGGCAACAAGTAAAGGTAGTTGGAATGGGGAAATACAACCAAATATTAATGATTGACAAATCTATATTGGTGGGATTAGACATTCCTTGGTAATGAATTTTCATTATTACATACCAAGCATTAGAACGAGCATTATCGGGTAATGGTCATTTCAATCCCATGCTTCATTAACACCTACCAAATACAATATTTGTACACATGATTTCCGTGGGTAGATAAGAAGAAAGATAACGGATGAAAAAAGATTGAAATAGATAAGTTTAGATTGTTAGAACTTTAGAACATTTCAATTCTTACACACATTCTGACTCAAAATTTAGTTTTTATAAAAACAGATTAAAAATAAGCTTTAGTCATTTACTCAAACTCATAACAAATTAAGGAGAAAATATTCATTACAATTGTGATACCACATGACAAGGTGATGTGGTATCACTAACAAATAATACTACAATAAATAAGTAGATAGACGTCACAAAAATCAATAACTAACTTGTCATGTAAGCAAATAACTCCCTACCATTTTGTCATGTAAGCCCAAGTGAGGTTCACTTTTCTCATTTGAGTTTTATTATTAGTTGGTGATTCTATATCACCAATGGTGATATAATATTATCATTACATTCAATATTTACTCCAATTGGAGGGAACACAAATCTTTATTTGTATCAAATTAACACCAAATGTTTATAATCCTTCGTTTTTCCTACTTTTAACTATCGACTTGTAACAAAATAAAATTTATTTCTAATCGTGACTCAAATTTTTATTTAAGTGTAAGTCAAGATTTACGTGTTGTACAATTAAGTAAATTTCTTGTTTGTATTGAATTTTTAGAGGCAAAAAACTATGAAATTTGAGAAAAGCCGAAGGGCATTAGTGACATTTTATATAAAGTTATAATTAAGTGCTCAATGTAGTTGGAACTCAATTCATTGGTTTTATTGATTCTGTCTAAATTTTATAGTAGTGATTCAGCTCAATGAATTATAATATTATATTACATTCAAATAATATTAGGGTAAATTGCACCAATAATCCGTGAGATTTAATGTTTATCGCATTTTAGTTTTCAAAGTTTTAATTTCGTCAATTTGATTCTCAAAGTTCAAACATTTCTCTAATTTGATCCTTGAAACTAATTGCCGTTTAAAAAAAGTGACGGAAAATATCACGTGCTTTGCACGTGACAATATTGATGGACATTTTTTTGTACCCTATGTTTTTAAAAGTCCAATGACAAAAATGCCCATCAATACCTCCAACAAATACCTTTAGTCCAGCTGCAGTTCGTGAGAAGATCACAAAAATATGGCAGCCCATACACTAGCAACTCAAGCTAGAAGAGGAATTTCCTTCCCTCAAGAGTTAGTTAGCCCCCCTGATTTTCTTATGAATGTACTTAGGAAGGAGGAAAGGAATGGTATAGGTTGACATATATATTCTCTAGCAGCAAGTGGGAGTATTAATATAAAAGTTATTTTCGTGACCGAAAAAAAATAAAGTACAATAAATATTAAATTTTAGGGATCATTGGTGCAATTTATCCATAATATTATTACAAACAATTTGCATAGACTTCACCCTTTGCCCAACATAGGATACCCCGGACACAAATGGGTACCGTTTTGTGACGACATAATTGTAAAAAAAAAACTTGTCTAGATAAAGGATGGCCCATCATTTCAATTAATTCTTAATCTCTCCCTTCCGAAAAAATATTTAGCAAGACATTGCTACGTGATGTCATTAAGAGAAATTTTGTTAGACACGTTGATTTATGTAAAGGGTAGAAATCACTACGGGATTTCAGCTTTTCACTCGAAAGATTTCGGCTTAACCTGGGTTAATCCATTGGGCGACCTCCCAGTAGCCTTTACCCTTCTTCGCCCGCAAGAGCTTGTCCCACATTGAAAGAGAATCGTCTTTTCCTTTCACATATAAGCTCTTGCACTCAAATGAGGAGGTACCCATTAGCTCAAGTGGCTAGTAGATACCTCCTCCATGTACTGCCCAGGCTTATATGCGAAGGGGGAGATGACTCTCTTCCCAGCTAGTAGATACCTTCTCCATGTACTGTCCAGACTTATATACAAAAGGAGGAGATGACTCTCTTCCGATATGGGACATGCTCCCAACTGACGAAGAGGGCAGTAACTGTCCAGGGAGGAGACGACTCTCTTCCGATGTGAGACATGCTCCCAGCTGACGAAGAGGGCAGTAGTGGGACATACTCCTAACTGACGAAGAGGGGTAAAGGCTATTGACGAACGTGCGCAGATCAGTCAAACTCCTTTCGGAGGGAGGAAATCCTGTCTACCAAAAGACGCCTTTTTATAAGGGATAGAAATCACTACGAAATTTTAGTCCTCCACTTAAAAGATTTTATGCGCGAGTTTTGATTGATTATTGGCTACGAGTCTAAGTAGGAATGATTGGTGGGGTTCCTTGGTTATTATTAATTTTTTTTTAAAATGAGTAAGAAAATACAAATATACCCGTCCATTGAATATTTTTTCACAAAATAGCCAAAAATACCCTTATGCCCTTACTCATCCCCCGCGCCCCCCCCCCCCCCGGCAATAGACGTGAAAAAAAAAAAAAAACAGTTCCCAAACATTGGGCGTAAAAGTGAGGCTGGGTCTTACAATATATAGAGCGCCCCGGACTCGACTTAGGGGTTGCTTGAAATTGAGGGGATCCAAACCCTAGATCCAAAATACCCTCAACGTTCCTTAGCTTTAGCTCAAAAGAATGAGGCTTCGGGGAGATGGGATTTCTTCAAGGGTGGTTGCCCCTCTCTGAAAGCCAATGATTTCACTCTTCTCTAAACCAACAGCCCTTCTTCACTCTGTTCTCAGAGTGTCCATGGCTATGTATACATATATATATACACACACACATGTTTGTGTGTTTGTGCGAGTAAGGATGTAGAGGGTTGAAACCCTTTGCATGTCTTTCTGTTTCTGCTTCTTCTTCTTCTTTTTCTTCCATTGTTGGTGCCATTGTTGTTGTTCTTGGTATTGATGTTGTTGGTGACGGTGAAGGTGATGGTGGTGGTGGTTGTTGTGGCTCTGGTGATCCGACCCGTATATCTGAGAGGCTGGGATGATACGATATGTTTTCTGAGCAAATGAATCGGGCATTGAGATAATCCGACCCGTATCTTGGCAGGGCAAACCTGATGGTGTGTGAGTGTTTCTCTCACATGCAACTGGTTTTGCAGCCATGGCGTGAGTCATCCATTCTCTTTGTCTGATCAAATATAGATCTGAGCCTCACACTTTTTACTATAATTTTTTGGTTTTTTTTTAATATCTTTTTTCATTTTTAGTAGCAAAATTACCAGCTAAATCTTCATACCTGGATGTTTGATTTGATTCTGAAATCTTTATATTTGTTAAAATAGTAAAAGAATGATTGGCTAAATGATATGAATAATAAATTAGTTAAATTTAATTTCGACATGAATAATATGATATAAGTAAAATTAGATATTATATAATTATTAAAAAAAATTATATAATATTATATGGATTGTTTTACAACTTGGTGTAATACAGGGGACAGAGGCTCTGCCGATGGCCTTTAGAGGGCGGGGACGTGGGCGTGGATATGGGGGTGGTGGCGGCTTTCGAGTTGCTAAGCAGGAGCCGTTCATACTCTTCCCGGTAATTTACTGACCATCACCATTTGTGTATTTTGTTTTGTGTAATTATATATATTCACACTTAAAATAATGAACTGACATTCCACTACTTCTGCTCATGTACTTGCAGTACAAACATCCCAAGCGTATTCCCCGAGATGAACTGAATTTATAGTATATGCAATAAAGAAACTTTACAATTAAGATGAGTTCCTGTAATTGCATTGTATGAAATTGAATGGTGTTCTAATTAAGCTGCAGATAACCTTAAATCCTAAGTACTTTTCCCCACTTTTTTCTTATTTTGATTTTTATTTACAGCCATCCAGTGCCATATCCTCCACAAATTGTTGGCCGTCATTAAAAATAAAACAGCCAGGTTAAGGTAACAAACCCCAAGTTATTAGTACAAGGTTTTAGATTTGTTGAGTAGTCTTTTAACAGCACCTTGACCCACAATTTGTTTTTGTTATTGATCATGCCCTTGTTCCATTGTTGAGTTGTTCCTGTTTCTTATATTCCCTTTAAAATCACAAACTGGATGAATTTGTTCCTCCTCCACCCTACTGCAGTGATAGACACACCAAGGTTTTAGTGGAAACATGTTAATAACCAAGCAAAATTTTGGACAAGTGCCTTTACAGCATGGAATCTCTCTCGCTTGACATTGTGTATAGATTATGAAAATTGAAGAGTGTATGCCATATGCTTCTTTGTAGTTCTGTACTGTTTGTATTCTTAATGAGTAAAGCAAGTCAGTCTCAACCTTGTTGCTTGTTTTTTCTTCTTTTTGGCCAACTTCTGAAACATATCTCAACCATGTTGCTTGGTTTTTTTTTTGGGGCCAAATTCTGAAAGGCCTATCATTACAGCTTTTGTTTATCGAACTATACTAGTTTCTAGTAGGGATTAATTCAGACATTTGGCCAATCAAATAGGTTTAACCAATCACGGTTTGAATGATTGTCATTTTTCTTTCTTCATAGATGTTTGTTTCAGGTTCAGCAAACCAAGGCCTGGAGGATTGTTATTTATTTTCTTCATAGATGTTTGTGATTTAATTTTTTTAGAGCAATAGTTTTATTATAAACTCTATGTGGTTAATGGTTTTCTTTGTATGGTTGTCTCCATAATTGCAGGATATTTCTGAAAATCTCACTGATGCGAAAACTGTGAATGAAGAAGTGAACTTAGCCATCTATGGTTCGAGGTTGCAGAAATTTTGGAACTCCCTTTATTATTTCAATGAAGAAAAGACAGAGAGTAAGTATCCATAGTTTTAATGTTCTTATTTTTCTTTTTATGGGAATGGGCATATGGCCTTTGGTAGGTTGGTTAAATGACATGGTTTTGATAACCAGAAGATGGTATGATGTGTAATTCTAGTGAAGGAACTATTTCCCATTAGCTTATAAGTGACGGCCTCTAACAGCAGTGAATTTTGTCAAGTGGTTTGAAAAATATGAAATCCTGACTTGCACTTTGAGTGAATCTTGTCAGCCTATGAGAAGAATCGAGATTCTTTCCCCATTGAAAGATTTCACAATGGTTTCTATTTTGTTCTGTGGATGGTTTGAAAGAAAACTATTTCAAGTGAAACTTGATTTGGGTTACATTCCGATATTTGTAGTTTAAGTAAGTTTACAGCGCCATATTAAGAGTTGTTTACTGCCTGAGGTCCATGAAACAAAAGAAACCCAAAACTGGTGAAAATGAGAACCATTCTACCTTAGATATAATTGTTGGCAAGAGTTCTTACATTTGGTTGAGAGTAAGTCCTGCTAAGGAACTTAGAACCGCTGTTATGCTGAAACTATGGTGGAACTCTTGTTCCTTTCACCATCTAATACTTTACCTGAAAACAAGAAGTCGTTGAAAAGAACCCATAACTTTAGGTAAGCTTCTTTTAAAATCTTCTTGTTTGCTAAGATCTTAACCATACTTTCCCCCACATGTATTCCAAGTTAATCCCAAAAAAACCCCTTGTAGTGCCTTTGGACAACGAATTGGTGTAAGCTTCATACAAGTTGCACTGCTATAGCAAACCTTTTCAATGGAAATTCTAAATGCAAACAATAGAATTTATACAAAGAGTACATTGGCTGTTAATGAATACAGCCGTTGGAGGTCTTCTGAGGAATGAAGCTGGGAAGGTTGAAAGAAGTCGTAGGCAATCTGGGGAACCCTTAAGTTTGACACCTGAAATCTTGCCCATTAGAAGGGACTTCCCTCTGGAAGCATTGACATCTTTTGAAAGCTCTGACAGCACAAATTCGGATACTTGTCACTGACTTAACATAAGGAGAGATTTGCAGTGCATATATTTTACTTCTCGAAGCCCCATACAAGGGGTTTATATTGTACTCTTTTTTTTTCCATAAAGCCATTTGTTATTTATCTTCTAGCTATACCAATCACTTTTTTCCTTGAAATTTTTATATAGATTTTGTTTGGAGTACGGATACTATATGCTCACATGTCAATCCATGCTTGCAGGATGTCAATTAGTAGAGAAATAAAATATATCTGCTAATCCCTACGGCCGATTGGTGCAGTTGTTTGATTACACGTGTAGTATTCTCAATACTTTTCCCGTGCACTTTGTTTTTTCAGTGTGTTTTTTTTTTCAATTTATCGCCTAGCATCACTGTATTAATGATCTTTATATTTCCGCTACTATAGCTTTAAGACTTGTATTTGCATGATTATAATTAATTATGGCATCTCAATCTTATCTGCATCCTTAATCTTGGTTGCAGAAGACCAAAGCTTTGACATAAAAAGGTTATTTGATCTAGGCAAGAAAAGAGGCATACCAAACAAGGAACTTCCAAATACTATTTTCCGTACTTCTGAATATGTCCCTGCAGAACTAGCTAGAGGTTTGCTATTGTTTAAAGCTTATAAATGTTGGGGAGTGGTATATTAATATATTGGAGCAGTTTATATTCCATCACTGTTTTCTCTGACACCTGTGGACACCTTTTCTGGTGATTAACAAAACAGTTTCAAAGCTGGAGCAGCGAGGCCAAAAGAAAGTACGATGGAATCCAGAGTCAGGTTTGATGAGAACATAATGTCTTGATTTCAATTACAACTAGTTTTGGCTGTGTCTTTTCAATTTTCATGGTTTTACTTATTTAAACCATGCTTACTTCTTTGCTATTTTGTTATTGGCAATAATGGAATTTAACGTAATTCCATTGCTATTTCATCAAACTGATGGACATGTTATGTGACAGCTCTGCAGAGATTAGATATCTTCGAGAAACTTGAACAGAAACATCAGGTAAACAACTTTTCTGTATATTGTAGTTCTGTTACCCTTTTCTTTCGAATGATTGCGCTATTGAGAACAGCTCTACGTGAATGAAGTTTATTTATCTTTTTTTCTGCTTTTTATGCTTTAGATCTTCAATTATTATATAATTTTTCCTTCAAATGCCTAGGGCCAAGTTGAGAAAGGTGGAAAGGAAGGTGATGAAGAGGAAGAGGATGATGAAAGAGTCGAAGATGAGGACAAAGAATTCAGTGATGATGGTGATTACAATCAGGTATACAAGGAAACTTTGGCTCTTACACCTCCATATTAAAATTCCACTCTGTTATTAGAAGATTTTCTTACCTATTTTTATGTGTGCCGAGTACTATGCATTAAGAGTAGTCCTTTTCATTCTTTTTCAAAATAGTACTTGCTTGAATATACCTATATACAACTGATCGTCCTGTACAGCATGGATCTTAGAGGGTGCACAGCAGGGTGGCTGTCTTCCTCGCCTTTTAAAAATTCACTTGATCTAAATATATAACGAGGAAGTTATCCTCACACCATCAAATAGTTCATCTCCCCAAACATTGTTCTGTTCCCAAGTTTCCGACTAAGTGCCTTGCCCTGGGTGGTCACACAGCTCCTCCAATAGAAATCAATATGGGGGCCTTCTTTCATAGAGAAGCTCTCTGTTGTTGGACATATCATGCCTACCTATCTCCACCCTCGTAATTAATAACAATTTTCTGCATAGGTTTTTTTATCCAAACACACTGGACTGAGGGTAACTCCTGCCGATTCGGTCTATCCCTTTATCAACCTGTTCTCCCACTTTCTCAATGTTTTTCAACTCTTTGGAGATCTCAATGAAATTTTGAAAATTCCCTAGAATTACAAGATTTTTTTTTTTTATTTTTTTAATTTTGGGTCACATCTTCCATATGCTGGTTCAAGGCTCCATTATTCTCCATTTTTTTTTCTCAAATTTTCAAATGAGTGGCAGTGATGTAGGTTTGACTTCTGCATATATATTATAAAGGGCGGTCATATGTACATCTGCATTGTTGTCAACAACCATAAAAAAGGGAAAGGGGGAACATTGGTCCAATTCTGTGAGTATGGATAGATAATATTTTAATTTATTGACTTGTTTGCAAAAGGCAGGTCGTAATAGATTTTTTAAAGTTATATCTTTATGCCTAATCATCCATCCATTTTATGAACTTTTCTGCTGAAATCCTCGCCAGCAATACAGCATGAGAATCTATACCATTACTTGGCCATTATGACACCTTTAATGATGGTTGGGAACTTCGATTGTACATGTTGTTCTTTCAAATCATCCTAAACCTATGTTTTTATGTTAATTTTGTCCGCTAAGTAACATCTATATAATAAATAACAATATAATATAAATTTTAAAAGATAAATAAAATGACTTTTGTATTTTCCGGTTGAAATCTTTTTAACTTTTACCTTAAAGTTAATCTTACGGTTAATATTAATGCCTCAAATTTAATAGGAAAAATAAGGTCTTTAAAGTTGTGTTTGGAATAATTTTTTTAAAGTGTTTTTAAAATTTATAACTTCTCATATGTATTTAAAAAAAAAATAGTGTTTGGAACCGTTCCACCACCACCATCACCACCTTTACCACCAACGCAACCACACCACCACTGTCACCCGTCACCCCACTACCGCCTCTCCCACAATAGTCGCCACCATTGTCCCACGGTCATCGCCACAATCACTACTGCCACCCCCCATAACCACTTATCACCCATATCACCACTATTGTTGCCATCACCCTACCACCATCGTCATTGTCCCAACCTATTATCACCACTGCTGTCGTCATTTTACCACTACTATCATTGTTCCACTATTGCCTCTATCATCACCGTCTCCCACCACCAACATCATCATCACCGTCTCCCACCACCAACACTGTCGCCATTTGCCCCCCATTATAAGCGGTGTTTAACTTTATTTCTCTTTCCTCTATTTTTATGATTTAATTTTGGGTGTGAATACAAATATATTTATTGTTGACTATTTTTTTTACGCAGTGCTTTAAGGCATGAGAAATAACTAGTTGTTACATATTTGATGAAAGTAACTGTAATTGAAACTCTTAATAATCTTTCAGAACATTGATTTTGATGATGATGAAGACGACTTCAACATGAATGATGACAACGATGGTATACGTTCTCTCTTCCTCAACATTTTCTATTTACAATTTCAATTAAAAATTTCTCTTGTGCTTCCTGTGCTATATCATGTTTGCTTATTCAGTTTGTCCATTGACTAATTGTTCATAACTTGGGCAATTTTGCAGATGAACCTATCTATTAGAGCTGGTTATGGTATTTTTTCCAGCTCTCTCAACTTGGAAGCATTCAATTTTGATTTGTATAAATACACTAGGTATAGGAGCTTCCTTAGAGATCAGAGGGCACCATCTTCAAGTGTTTGTTTTTGCACAGCATGGGAAGAAAGTAATGGAAGGAGAGAGAACGGCGTGATGATTGCCTGCTTACATGTTTTGTTTCTGTTACCCTGGGCGTTTGGATACTGTATCGCTCCTAATTAGTTTTCAAGATAATATTATAATTAATTATTAAAAAATTAAGACAATTGTTACAATTTAATTTAGTGAAATTATTATGGAATAGAATTGTTTGGAATCAATTTTAAAATGTTAAAATTGATGTTATTACATTTGTTGTAATTCGATCGATTTGTAAATAATTTCTGTTTACCCATAACTTTCTGTATCCATCGGTATTGTATCTCTTTTGATACTGTAAGAGGTTCTATTCCCCTCCTCGGAAGGATTCTAGCTGACCTGTGTGACCACCTAATAACATTTACATCTCGTCTCACATCGAAAGAGAATCGTCTCTTCCATGCCATATATACTATAGAGGAAGTACTCACTAGCCACCTGATCAGTAAGTGGTCACTTATATGACAAGAGATTAGGTGATTAGTGGGTACCTCCTCCATAGTAAGTGATCACTTAAATGGCAAGAGATCAAGTGACTAGTAGGCACCTCCTCCATAGTAGCTTTCTTCCGGTATGGGAGAGAGATAAAGACTATCCAGAATCTTTTCGTGGAGGGGAATAGAACCCTTTACAGTAACCATCTCACAGCTGCTGCAATCATCGGCCACGACGGCGGTGTCTGGGCCCAAAGCACTTCATTCCCCAGGTTTCCATCTTTCTTTTCTCCCTTGTGGTCTCTCCTCTGAAAAGGTGTTGTTTGTATTTGATTGTTTATATAGATAGCTCTGTACATGTTTCTATCCACATTTATATTTAATTATTCGAACCTAATTCATATGATCTATCCTTATATTAATTATTAACTTTTTTAAAAGAAAGTTATTATTTTTATTTTTATATGTTTTTTTTGTATATGTGAAAAATGTATAATTTTATTACGATAATTTACCAAGTCAAATATAGGATATGATTGATTTGGATTAGAATGGATAGTCATGATAAATTATTACAAAATTATTTGTGTAATCTATAGGATCCATTGAATTACACATTTGTTTTCCAAACAAGGGTTATGATTGAATATATTCCAAGGTTAGGGTTTTAAAATGGATGAGTGGGTTTGACTTGGATGAGTTAGGATTAAAAAAAAAATAAATCCTATCTTATCCAATCTCATCATCCACACACACACACACACACCCTTAGAACTCTAGGATAGAGAGGTACAACCCTAAAGAACAGATTTGTTCAATTGAGGTCGTGGAATCAATGCATTTCATGGAGTCCATTTTTATTGCTTCGGCCAAAGACGAACGAAGCCAGATCTAGGTGTACCTCAACGAACCAGATCTGTTAGCGTTCGTTAGGGGAGAGAGAGAGAGAGAGAGAAGCTTAAAGGACTCCATGTGGAACCTGAACTCAAAAGCCCAAAGATTGAAAAAAGAACTCATATTTTACAGCAAGTGGGAAAAAAAAAAAAAGGAAGAAACCTTTATCTGCAGACCGACTATAGGTTATAGCGAGGGGGAGAAGGAGTAGAGATCATACCCTTACCTGGAATGATGTCTAGAAGGTGGAGAGGCGCAGATTAGTAGGTCCACTGGTCCAGAAGTTGCAAGACGATCAGTTCTGAGTGAGATTGAGAGAGAGGCGAAGTGAGTGAGAGACCGAGAGAGTCAATGAGAGTGACAGACTAAGAAATGTAGATATGCAGACAGTCGATGAGAGTGAGAGAGTTAGTTGATGAGAAAAAGCTTACCTCGAATGCAGTCGACAATCGCCTGTGACCTGCTTGGAGGTGAGCTGCTCAGACGAAAGTGAAGGATCTTTTGGTAAGGTGTAGCAAAATATCTAAGAAAGAGGGAGGGGTATGTCCATCTTTTTACCTAATTCACCTGGTAGGTAGGATTGTAACCTAGGTGGGGGTGGGACAGTTAAACCATGTACATTGGATAATTTTTACTATAGCTTTGGGTCAAGGTTTGATATGTGATTTATATCCTCCCTCATTTTTTCAGATGTCAAACAACGGATATATGAGAGCCACTTCATTGTTAAATTATCCTTATAACCCACCTTAACTCACTATCCAAACACATCCTAAAGAGTTGTGAATTCATCTCAAGAGATTGTAATATCATATCACATCTAGAAATGGTACTTTTACTTTTCCTATTTATAATCTAATCTTAAATAATTATAACTTCACATTCAAATATAATAATTTTATCATAAATAGTTATAACTTCAAATCAAAAAATTGTATTTTAATCTCTAAAGTTGATAATTTTACTTATACATAACATAATTTAACCTCAAATAATTATAACTTCACTTTCAAAAATAATAATTTTATTTTTAATTGTTGTAACCTTACTTAAAAAGTTTATACATCACCTTTAAAGATGATAATTTTACTTTTATAGGTTGTAATTTAATTTCAAATAGTTGTACCCTGACCTCTAAAGGTAGTAGTTTTAGCTTATTTGAACCCTCATCTCTAAAGATAGTAATTTTACCTTAAAAAATTGTAACATTCCTTCCAAAGGTTATATCTTTACCTCTAAAAGTAGTATCTTTACCTCTACATGCTGTATTTTTATCATAAATAATTGCAATCTTACCTCCGAAGATAATGACTTTATATTAAAAAGTGATAACTTTATTTCAAGAGTTATAACTTTGTCTTTGTCAATAATAATATTATCTTTAAGGTGTAATTTCACATCAATAGTTATGATAGATCATGATTATCTAGGATTGATCTCAATGCCTCTTATGGATCCAAATATTCTATGAAACTAATTTTTTTTTTTTTTGCAATCCACTCAATTAGGATCGATCATGATCATATGAGATCAATCTTAATGTAGTTAATAGTCCAAAAATTCTTTCAAACTAAATTTCTGGAGGTTCCAATTAGATAGGATCAATCATGACTAGTGAACTTGTTTTTTTGAACGGGTCGTAATTTTATATTTAATTACATCAAATTGACATGTAATTTTATGAAATTAATTTTTAGTTTTATCCAACTAACACTCAATTCATAAAAAATAACATTAAATTGACCTTCAATTATATTAAATTAACATTCAAAATTATAAATTTAAATTTCATCAAATTAACATTTGACATTTTGTTATGTTCGAAATATAACTTGATGAATTAAATATTACCAACAAAAAATTAAAGGTTCAATTAATGTAAAAGGTTAAATTGATGAAATATTAAGTTGGTGAAAATTAATGTTAAATTGATGGAATTAAAGGTCAATTTATTATCAAATTGACAATAAATTGACGAAATTAAATTTTAAATTAGTAAACTTGAATGTTAATTTGGTTAAATTAAAGGTTAATTTGATGTTAATTTAATGTATTGAATATTAATTAAATAAAATTGAAGGTTAATTTAGTGTCAATTTTATACAATAAAATTTTAAATTGATAAATTTAAATATAAATTAGAAAAAGGGTTTAAAATAAATATTAAATTAATAAATTTTAATATTCAATTGAGATGAAATTATCATCTTTTTAATGTAAAATTATTACTAGTAATAGTTAAACTCTCAACTTTCAAATTAGATTGATCGTAAAAAAATTTCTAAGTGATCTTTTATTTTTTTTCTTAGTTGA